TAAATTATATCCATAAACACACACAAGTTCACATACACAGGATGCATGAGATCACTGACAGTGGTGCTGGGGTTTTGTTTTATTCCTGCGTTGCATCCATGTTAAATAATAGGACAAAAACAAACTATAACACCTGAGCAGTGAGTTTACAGTGATTTTCTGACTATTCATTTGTAATCATTTTAAACCATTACATGTCTGATACAGTGATTGCAAGGGCCCCAAAAGCAGCCACGATGCGAGGTGAGCTACTTCCTGTATCACAGAGCAGCTTTAATGTGATTTTCAGCTCTAATTAGAGTTAAGTCACTTAGTGTGTGTAATGATGTTTGGCTCACAGAGTAGCAGACGGCGTCCATCAGCCAAATGAAATATTAAACTGACCTGCCGCTGGATTATGTGTGTATGTGTGTAGATTCATATTTGTAGCTGTGTCAGGAGACCTCCGTTGCACACACATCTACTGCTGCCACATACACACATTTCTGACCTACATTCAATATACACAAACAACAGGGTGTCAGGAGGGGCAGGGCAACAAATGCGTCTGTGTTGGGGGTGAAAATCTGCAGGTGCACTGCACCATGAGTCTAATGCAAAATTAGTGTTTTCTTCCCGCCAAATAATTCATGATCCCACATCTGAAATGACAGCAGGACAACTTGACTTCGTCCCTTTGGCCTTAGTCACTCTCCCTCATGAATGGTGTTTTATTCAAAATGTGACATGGAACAGAAACTAGTAAGTAAATAGAGCTGGAATCGACATTTCTCTGGTTTGATCTCAGGCGACTTTAGGCCTGATTCAGACCTCAAAGGACAGGACTTAGAGGAACATGCTGTCACCTTAACTTACATATAACTTATGCTAAGTGTTTTTTATAATGCAATCATTTACAGAAATGTAAAAAGGACCTGTTTATTTATTTGTTTGTTTTAACTTGTAGAAAATAAAAAATAAAAATTTAAAAGAAACAATTGTAATTCAATTTTATTTAAATAAAAATGTAACATTTTAAAAGTTTAAAAACATATTTTTATTATTTAATAAACCTTTTAAAAGGTTAATTAAAGATTTTGTTTTTAAAAAAGGCCACAGCTTGTGGAGCTCCTAATCACATCATGCATTGATGATGCAGATGTGTACTCCAAGTGTGCGTCAGTACAGTGTGCTATCAGAGAGCACACTTGTGATATTTGAAATTTTCAGTCAAAGCAGCCAATCAGCCATTAAAGCAGTGTATTGCTTCCTTTTAGTTTGAATGCACCTTTATTCAGACATGCATTCAAATCCAGACACATCGTGTTCACCCCTGAAAATAATCATGCTCCCAGACAATCCAGAAGTGAACCAAAGCTCAGTGGCATTCCAACTTTGGTGCCTTTACGTTCAACAAGGTAAGAACAAACAGCAAAGCGAGTTGACTTTTATTTCACTGGCCGGAGCCCAGTTGAGTGTGTTTACTTTATTATAGGTCAGTGTGTGCACACCCACTAACTACAGCCAGGGCCCCAGCATATAAAACCCTAAATAATATGTCTACATTTAGAGAAAACATCGGGTGTCGCTGTGAAATGCAACACCATTGTGGCGAGGCATTTTCATAAAAGAGCAAACAACCAGTGGAGAAGCCAGAGAAGGGACAGTATACTGTAGCTATGTTGATATAATACAGTGTGACTGACACATTCGGGCTTAATCAGTCTATTTGTTTATGAGAATCCCAATAATTAGAATGTGCATACTGGCACAAAATAATACAGATACAGAAAGGAAGCAAAGTAAACAGCACAAAGGTGAAAGGATCATTGTGCAGAGTGGTAGGAATACTATCGGGAATAAGTTGGAATATGGACCCTGGCTCTTTGTTCTGTCTTGATAAACAAAACCTTCCTTCTCTGATAACCTAATCACACTGGCACGCAAATACACACACACACAAATGATTGCATATATTCACACTCAAAGCCACATGTCTTAGCTGATCATATTTGCCAGTGAAGTCCTGTGATTGTAACATAAACAAAATGGAGCACAGAGAGGGAGGTCTGAGCCCTGCAGTCACCTGAGTGTTCCCAGACATGAAGGTGTGTGTTTATGAAAATGCTTTCTTTTGCTCGCTCTCTCAGAAAAACACAGTTGACCTCGTTGTGCTCTGCCCTACTACAAAGCCATTTCATCTCAGTTCATACAAGCTCTTTTGTTGAACCATCACATCTTAAATGCTGCTACCCCCCACCCCCACTGCCATTTGGAATAACAGATGAATACATGGACGAGGGGGAAAAACAGTAGAGTGAAACCACAGTGGAACTCAGTAATGGTCAGCCAGGCCCACCACGCCTCAGCAAATGTTTGTCCAAACCTGTTATTTCTGGCATTGTGCTGTCTCAAAGAGATCATTTTATTCTCCGAGAGGAATGCAACTGCTATAAATAGTCTGGAGATGAAGGAGGGAAATCAGAGATTTGTTGAGTAATTACAGAGCCAGAGTCGAACCCTTCTGTTATGGCTCATTTTTCATCAACCTCTGTCTCCACAACTGTCTGACTGACTGACCAACTGAGGTAAAATGGCCTTTTTCTCAATGCGACATGCGTCTAACCTGATTTTTGACTTCCATTACTCAGGCCTTAAAGGAACAGTCAACCTTTAGGGAAATATGCCACCAAACTAGATGGTGAATGATAGAGTGAAGTGGGTCATATTTGTCCTCACAAGACAAACAACAGCATTTGTTGTTCTTGAAAAAATAAATCACATTTGATATTATTGTGTTACCATTTGCATAGTTTTGATGACGTCCTGTTGATAGGACGTCACGTGTCAGCATGGACTTGTCCTATTTAGCCTAGTTAAGCACAAAGACCAGAAGCAGAGAGAAACCGCAGGCCGAGCTCAATCGCTAGAAAGCAAATGCACCTTTTCTTAAAGCTCAGAAGCTACCGGCTGTTTTTAAGTTCAGGATATGAATCTTTGCTGGTTTGTCAATGTGAACTCAACTGTCTGTGTCTCAGTCAACTGAACAACACATTTCACTAAGCAGCTTTTGCCATATACACATATCTGCAACACAAATAATATTTCAAGTGTATGTTTGTCCAACTAACCAAACCAAAGAGGTGGGATACTAGAAAATGCTCATTTTGTCCCAAATTACATGTGGTTTGTGTTGTTATGTCTTGGGTTTGATGCATTTTCTTCAGTGCCACAGGTTCTGCAAACCATCCAAACAGCATGTTTTTCTCACCTTTGGTAAACTGACACTGAAAGGGATTTACCTGAATTCATATTCTAAAAAAAATAATAAATAAATATACATATAAAGTCCTGTTGCTCCATGTTAGACATAGCTGTCTAACCTGCTCTGATCCTTTTCCCCAAACACCAACCTCACCTAAGAGCCACATTACTCATGTCCTGGCATTTCAGGTAAACCAGGCAGATGAGGAAATGAATGACTAGAAACAAAATGTATTGAAACATGAAGTAAAGCTCAGGGGTTTGAGCTCGATGAGAAGAAAAGTTATGGAAAGAAAATTGGCCAATTCATACTAATATGTAATCTGTGGTCATTTTTGTTTGATTTAAATGAATTGCATTTTTAAATGATCATGAACTACACTAAGGCTTTTAACACATACATAACACTAATATGGCATGATACCAGAGTATGAGAGGAAATCAAGCTACAGTAGAAACTAGTCAATACAGAGAGCAGAACTAAAACAGACATAAAATAAAACCCTCACACAGCGTCATTCTCAAGTCACCCTGACAGCGCTTGTGTCTTAAATGATCTTTGTGGAGTATAAAAGGACTATTAGCTGGTAAATTGCTGTAATTATCAAACATGCCCTTCTCATTTTGCACAGTCAGACTTCAATGGCAATTCACCCAGCAA